AACAATTTAACTGCAGTTTATTTCACTTGACATCTCTGGCATCCATGATGACCGGCTTCAAAGAGTGCGAGGGCATTCTTAATGTTTAAAAGGTTTAAGGTATCCTCTGAAGATAATTTCTCACAATAACTTGATAAGAGCTCATGCTTTATGGAGGGTCCATTCTGCTTCTTTCTGTCTGATCTGAACTCCTGTCACAAGTTCCTGGCATTGTTTGCATGATTTACTGGTCTAAAGGGACCATGTTAGCTCACTGCAGGCATAATTCACTGCCAAACACACAAGCCTGTTCTTCTGTCATTTACAGAAGACACTTACGTACTTATATGACCAGCTATTAACGAAGTTAATTGTTCTTAAAAATCATTAAGCATAACACATATGAAAGAAAATATGTATCTAACAACATTCAGATTGATTTTGATCATATGATGTCTCATGTTACAAGCCATTGTGTAGAGTGTTGTTCTCTAACCAACGCCAAGAACTGTTAATCTTGTAGTTGCAGAGCAACTTAAAAATAAAGTCCACATAATTCTCTAAGATTGCTTTGATCTCTCTTTAATCCTCAAGCAAGACTCTGCAAGTGGAAGTCTGCTACCCTGGGATGGCACAATAATAAAATACTGTATTTGATAAACAAAACAATAAATACAATGTGCTTTTTATTACTCAATTTTATTCCAAATCATCTTAATATTAAATCCCGCATTACTATAAAATGAAAAAACATTGAATCGGCACACATGAACTAAACAAAAAAAAAAAACCTCAGAAATTGCTAGAAAATTAGTAAATTACAAAGAAATAGCACAAGTAACACTGAATTAAACATGACATTTTAAAGTAGAAAATATTAATTTCAGTATTTTCTTGTAAAACATACTCTTTTTACAACTTCAAAAATCATTTTTATAGTTTAGAACTATAAAAACAACATAATGTAAACACACACACACATTTTTTAATTTAAAGCATTTTTAGAAGAGTGAAAAGATTTAAATAAATCTAACAAATACATTCATACATTTAAAGAAATATTTTAGCTAAAGAAATATCAAATATTTCACTTTATTTTTTATTTATTTATATAAATAACTATTTTAATTATGAGATAATATGGGTAAGCATAGGGCTCTGCAATTCCTGCAAATAAGGAATATTGGAATATTAAACATTCACTTTTTATTTGCACCATTGATCATGCTAAATAATATGTTATGTAAAATGAGTTAAAATATAAACATATCATGTTTCATTTTGCTGAAGGGGAACTTGAATGTCACTGATAGGATTATGGGACATATATTTAGTATATCAGTTACATGAAGCAACAATCATAGGATTATGCATAATAAGAATGTGTAAACCAAATCACTACAAGTGCATTATAAGCACAGCATGTGTGTAATAAGTGTAATATAAAAACTACAACAACCCCATAGGTTTATAAGACTAATATGTTCCTTTGTATTATCCAGAGATGACGGTTATAATGGATAATCCTGGCAATATTCCAGCACCATTAGACAGGCCTGTGTGGGGGAATGGTGTGTTTAAATCCTCTGGAGCATTGCACCCTCACCGACCTTAAATTAGACTGAGCGTCAATAACGAGAGGTATTCATTTAATAGTCGATGGGATGGAAAGGCCTCATCTTCTAAAGTTGTGCCGGAGTTACGCAATCACATCCGCTGCCTTTGTGGGTTAGATTATGGCACCTGTGCCGCTCATCATTTTCTTAATCGAATTTTCAATAATAATAATAACAATAAAATCTTAACATCATTAAATAAGACTTGTTTTCAGAGAAGATAAGTTCTCTAACATTAATTTTTAAATAGCATAAAACTAAGTTTATGCTTAAAAAGCAACTCTGGATATAAGTCTATCTGTAAGTATTTGTAACTAAAGACAAAGACAAAAAATTTAGAAAATTATTTTTATATTTTAACAACACAAAAAAACAAAACAATGCTACTTACAGTACTTATTAAATAAGAAAATACTGGAAAGTACTCGTTACCTTAAAAGAAGATCTCACAACATGATGAGGCATCAAGATGTATAATGAGAACTGTCATGTTGTCATGTGAAATTCAACTCCGAAAATAAGTGGTTGCAATAGAACCTCACAGGCTCAAAATCAGCAAAAGGCATTTGACAAAGATCCAAAGGCCTCTCTTATGACATGAGAAGGATTATGAAATCTTTTCACCCACAGTTAAGAGACACAACTCAATTACCCCTGACACGAGGGCAGATGGCACCATTGTCTCAACATACAAACAGACCAATCAGGGGCATGATAACAAACATACAGATCCAGTCTGTGCAATCAACCTTAACCTTCTGTTTATTATCTACATTGTGAAGAATATGAATAGGCTCCCTAACCTAATAAAAGGAGCATGTGATATGGGGGTTTTGAATTTATTAAGCACTTCATAAATTCATGCCAGTGGAGCCTTGTGTGTATTTATGAAACATGCCATAATGTATTTCATACTGACAGACATTTGATGGAATAATAATGACTGATTTATAGTCGATCTATGTATATTTATCTTTTACAGTAGCAATCTTCTCTCAACGGTAGATCAGATTATCTGTGTACTTTCTCAATACATGTTCCTGGCCTTCTTATAAATGAAAACTAATAATGAATTAGTTGTGCCTCGGATGACTAGAATTTGAGTCCCAGACTCAAGGACATTTGTTATGTCCTCAAGTCTGGGACATATAATACATATAAAACATATAATATGTTTTTTCTTATTTATTATGATTGTTTGTTATGAGAGACAGTTGTAACTGTGAGAAAAAATGAAATACATGTATTTATTTTTCTCAAACCTGCGACTTTAACTGCGACTGTGTTAAGAAAATACATTACATACATTTATACAAATATATTTATACAAAAATGTATACTTTATTTACTTATAAATACATGTTCTTTGCCTTCTTTAATAATAATAATAACAATAATAATAATAATATATTTCTTATTTATTATGTTTGTTTATTATGAGAAACAATTGTAACTGTTACTTTAATAGTTGCGACTGTATTCGGAAAATATGTTATGAAAATGTAAATATGTGCATATATGTACATATTATATACAAGAAAAAAAAAATACATATATTAATCGGTTATTTACTTATGAATACATGTTCTTGGCCTTCTTTAATAATAATAATTTAAAAAATAATTGCATATGTGTATTTAATACTCTCTCAATTGCAACTTTATGTACATATGTGTATAACGTAGCAAGAATGTGTGTGTGGATAAACAAGTATATACACACACACACACACAGATTTTTTGTTTTGTTTATACAACAAACTAGGGCTGGACAATAATTCAATATCAATATGTATCGCGATATAATTCTTTTCAATAACGGTGATATGATTTTTAAACACATTTCCGATATTTCGATATACATTACCAGTGTTTCCCATGCATTGATTTATTTGTGGCGTTTGACTTCGTTGAATAAACATTAGCACTGCACGTTTCAAAATCATAACGTGGCGCGGGTGTTTTATATGAATGTATCTGAAGGGAACCGACTGTCTTCAGAAAAGTTTCGATGACATTTTCATTTTATCTGATAAAGTATAAAAATCTTACTTTTCAAAAACTTTTGACTGGTATGTTGGAAGATATTAATAATTAATAAGGTGAGTCTGAGATGTTTATTTGACAGTGATTTCACATTTCTTGTTTGTATGAAGGCTAAATACAAATAAAAGGTGAACATTAATTTATTTGTGCTGTTTTTTTTCTCTAAAGTATTATATGGTTTTATATGAGGTGTCAAGACTTGGCAAATTAATTTTTCATAAGTTTGTATGCACAGACATCTGTTGTGGGCATTCTTGGCAGTTTTTACAAGGCTTTTTTAAATAGTGTTCATATCGATATCGGAATTATATCGTATCGACCGAAATTAAGAAATATATTCTGATATAAATTTTGGCCATATCGTCCAGCCCTACAACAAACAGTCAAAATTGTAAGATAAATTAATACATTATACATTATTTATTTATTATTATATATGTCAAAATCTGAGCCATCAAGGTTGTACTGAAACGGCATAAATAAATAGAGAAAAAGAGAGATGAATTGTTGGGGGTCATAAGGTCAGGGCAGCACCTGGCTTCTGTACACCTTGCATTGAGGAGATGGGCAGTGATTGAGTGATTTAAAGGGAGGAGGGTAGAGGAGGTGCAGTCAGGGTTCAAAATGTCTGACTGAAGGAATGGACAGCTGCAGTCAGAGCCCTGCTCGCTGTCCTGCCATTCCAGCTCCCGACCATTCCAACTATCCCTCCGCTAGCTCCCCGTAAAGGACACACTCGCTCCAAATATAGCGCAATTAATGTCACTCTATAAACCTCATCGCGTAGACCATTTCAAACAGGGCCTAAAGACAACCATGGCGACAGTGCAGCGTTTTTTCCTGATGTGTTACAAAGGCATACTTAACCTCTGCACTAATCTGCCATAAGCCAGAAATGTCAATTACGAGTGCTAGTGTTTACTCTTCTGAGCGCGATGTTTGAGAGCTAGTGGGAGAACCAGGCAACGCTGGGGATCAGGCGGATCAGGCCAGATCATATCAGAAAGCC